ATAGCAGGGATTGTGGGGCTGGCGCGGGATCGGGCAGTGTTTCGTTCTGCTGTGCATGGGGTCGCTATGAGTTGGAAACGACTCGACGGCACTTAACAACAACAACAACAACATTTTGACATCTCCCATATGACATCATGACATGTACCACTGGTGACTAATGCTGTTCTCACCAAATCACTGCTAAAGGCACAGATTCCTGCTTTAGGTACAAATTGAAATACTGCTGTAAGGAACCAAACTACTGCCATAGAACAACAGTGCATCACCAACTACACCTTCAAAGAGCTGAAAGCTCTAAATTGTCTTTCTCTCCAAGGACAAACTCACCATCAGGAGAAATCATAAGAAAAATTATATTTTCTTTATAACAAGCTTCTTTTAGCTTTTGTTCTCAGCACAGTGTACATGAAGTAAGCAAGTAAAGTAGACTCAGGTGCATCCATGACTCAACTTTTTAAAAATATTTTGAAAAATTACAAAATGCAAATACATATAAGGGGATCAATTAGAGTTTTGGTTGTCTTTTACGATATAACGAACCACTCCAACACTTAGAGGATTAAAACAACAAAATTTCATTTTCTTGGACAATTCTGTTGGGTAACTCGGCTTCGCTGTATGGTTCTTCTGCTTCACGTTGTATCAATGGGGCTGCAGTCATCCAGGGATTCTTGGGAACTGTAACATACTAGGTGCCACATTTATAAGTCTAGTGCCTTGGCTGAGATAGCTAGCCTGGTTTCAGTTGATATACTGGGATAGCTGAATGGTCACATTCTCACTCCATGTAGTCTTAGGTCTGCTCTTTCTCCCTGTGGCTTTTCCACATGATATACCCAGCAGGCTAGCTAGACTTCTAAAATAGCAAGTTTCCCACTTTACAAAAGCAGAAATTGACAGGCTTCCTTCAAGTTTAGCCCAGAATTTGCACAATGTCATTTTTGTTGCATTGCATTAGTTAAAGTGAGTCACAGGGTCAGCCTGGAGTCCATAATGTGCATACAGTGCATAGTGGTATGAATACCAAGAGACATGGTCTATTGGAGACTACCTGCAGAAGCTATCTACTGAAACTGCTGTTCACTCTGCCAAGTGTGGAAATGATACTTAATATGCTAAATATCTCTTCATAGAAGAAAATGTGTTACTCTATTAGATACGAACCATCAAGATGCACAGGTATTGGGAACATCAAAAACTACACACATCTAGCAAATCTGTTTATTTTAAGAAATGTGATTAGGACTTCAAAAAAGTCACATTTGATCAAATTTTCAGCTACAAAAAAAATTAAGCTTTATAAGCAGATGGGTCAGTTTTATATTCTCAGGATAAATGGCAATTTAGTAACAATTACAACATTTTAGATATATTTGTTTAGGATAGGTACTGGGTGTGGTGCTTACCTTTGTGGGTCAACTTGGCGGGGGCTGGTTGAGTGGGTGGACAGCTGAATGTAGATATTCCCCATGGTGAGACTGGTAATCAACTCTATGGTGGAATCTATTGGAGCAGCTCAGTAGCTGCTTTGGGTATGTGGTCTGCTTCCCATATATAAGAAACAGCTTTGGGAACAGTCTCTAGCACATAAGGTTGCTATGAGTCGGAGCCAACTGGGAGGCACCTAACAACAACTACAACCTTTTTTACTAGATTCTTTTTTTACTCCTTCTTTTCATGAATCTTTACTCCATCTTAACTTGATGACTCACCATGTCCCAAACATACTTGGCGTTTGACATTTACTGTCTATATTTTTTATCATGTTGTTACTTAAATTTCTCCTCAACCTGGACCCTAATGGTTGGAAGTTACCTTTAAGATCTAGCCCAAGTAACATCTTCAAGGTTTCTGATTCTCCTCTAGAAATATTACCTTTTTCCTCTGAAGTTATATTGCAGTCTAGAAACTACTCTGATACTATAGTACACACAAATCACTTCAATTCAAGGATCTGTTTCATTGCAAGCTTTTGAAGGACAGAGATGATCTCTTTCATTTTTTGAACCCCAACAATACCATACACCACCTTATTCTTTAACATGTACTCTCTATAACTGTTCATTAGGTGAAATAATAAATGAATGTTCAATGAGTCCATTCTAAAGTGATAATGAATAGAGTATTTTATTTTAGAAAATGTTTTTACAAGTTACTGGGGATGTTTAATTGCAAGAAATTATTGAATTAGTAGGATAATTTAAACCTGTCCACAAGAAAAATACTTTTCGGTAGGCTGGCCTTTGGTCTTTAAAAACACTGCAACTAGGTCATTTCTTTTACCTATGTATCAGATCAGCCTTGCTTGTTATATGGTAGATTTTTCATAAATAGTAAACAAGACCAACTTTATATCTTTGATTTTTTTGTACCAAATAAATATATGAAATGTGTGTGTGTGTGTGTTTCAAAGAATGGTTTTACATCAAACTTGACTATTTGTGGCTTCTTTGAAAACAGTGACATTGTCAGAGTGGATGAAAAGAAATTTTACTATTATTCTATATGTATTTCTGAATTGTTTTAACATTTTTGTAACAAGTATATATTGGGTATTATGTTTAAAATGGAAAAATGATAATTCTTAAAAACACTTAGCCTACATGGCACTGTATATACAATACCTTTATGTGGCAACTATCTTCAAGAAGTTCATAACACAGTATTCCCTTTGAAACTCTCAAGAAATGGAGAAAATAAAATGTTGGTTCAACATTATTCAAATGATATTATCTCTATTTATTTTTGAAAATCTTACCAGAGTAAGAAAATAAATACATCTTTCTATCTTGTTTGTGGGAGCTCTGGTAGCGTAGTACCTAAGGCATTTGACTGCTAACCAGAAGGCTTGCAGTGCAAACCCACCAGCCACTCCTCAGAAGGAAGGTTGAGCAATCTACTTCCGTAGTGATACTGCCTCGGAAACCCAAAGAGGCATCACCACGAGTGAGATCCAACTTGACAGAGGTGAGTTTTTTTTTTTTTTTATCATTGTTTGAAAGTAAAACCATATTTGAAAAGCAAATGAAATAGAGAAAAAGAAAACACACGGAAAGAAGTGTTAAGTTATATTAAGATTTTTTAATATAAATCTTTGTGTAAAAGACAATGTAAAAATAAGTTGATTTATGGGTATATTATCCAAAAACATTCTGACTAGAGTCAATAACACTATTAAAAATATTTAAATATTTAATTCTTTAAGACTCAAGTAAGTGGTAGCCATAAAATAAAATGAAAAAACATTTGGAAGGCAAAGAGTTTGAAAGTCTGAAAATTAAAGAGCAAATGGCTTGCTTAGTTCTACTGAGGAACTTCAGTAAATGGATAGAAACCTACTTGAAAAGAAATAAGAGTTTGTGTAATTTCAATGAGCTTAAAGATTGTGTTATGGATTGAATGGTTTTCCCCAAAAATACATGCTGTAAATCTTAACCTCTATGCTTGTAGCTATAATCCCACTTGGGAATTGGGTTTCTTTGTTACGTTAATGAGAGAATTAGTGCAGGGTGTATCTTGAGTCAATCTCTTTTGAGATATAAGATATTAAATACAAGCAAAAGCAGAGATAGGGCAAAAGAGATGCAAAGCCACATGAAAATCACCCAAGAGAACCCAAGTTCAAAGAGACAAAGACCTTCCTCTAGAGCCCACACAGAAAGAAAGCTTTCCCACAGAGCCATTACCCTGCATTCAGACTTTTAGTCTCCTAAACTGTTTGAAAATAAATTTCTGTTTGTTAGAGCCACCTATTCGTGGTATTTCTGTTATAGCACCACTAGATAACTAAGAGATGGTTTAAACATTTATATCTCTCCTGGGGAGCTTGGTGATTCAGGAAAAAACAAAACCAAACCAAAAGGAGGTTATTAAAATATTATTTCATGCTGCATTGTAGGATTCAGGAAGTGAATAAACATACCGATTACTTGCATGGTGGGTTCCACGTCTGTTGTGGCCTCTTCCAACAATGATAGCAGCTTGGCTGATATCTGATGCACGGATTCAATGTTGCTAAACAAGCCATCCACGTCCAGCCTATCAATCTAAAGAAACACAAACACTGAGTGCCAGCTGACAGAGAGGGACACACTGTATTTAGGATGTTTTCTCCTGCTAAACAGTAAACAGTGTATGTGCCTGCTCATGCTGTCTCTGTAAACCATTTCTGTAAACATTCTTGTTTGGGATTTCTAGAGTAAATGTGTTGCTTTTCATCCAAGATATTGAGATGGCCCATATGTTACCTCTGTCTTTCTTTATTTTGAATAAGTTTTAATGACCTGAATGCTCATCTATGCATCTCTACAGGAATCAACTCAATGAGAGTGGGTTTGTCCTCTCTAAAAGTATGTGGAATCCTGGGTGATGAAAAGAGCTATGTGCAAAGCTACTAACTGAAAGGTTGTAGTTTGAACCCACCTGGAGCCTGGCTTTCTGTTTCCCAAAAGTCACAGTCATGAAAAACCCCTATGAAGCACAGTTCTACTCTTCAGTGCACAGGGTCTGCATGAGTCAGAACTGACTCTACAGCAATTGGTTTTATGAAAAAATGTACTAGAGTACATAAATCTAGAATACTTCACTCAGGTGCCTAAGGTGTTTGACTGCTAGGCAGCAGGCTGGTGGTTCAAACACACCAGCCACTCCTCAGAAGGAAGGTTGGGCAATCTACTTCTGTAGAGATACTGTCTGGGAAACCCAAGGAGGGGTTGTTATGAGTCAGATACGACTCAATGGCAGTGAGTTTGGTGTTTTGGTTTTTTACATAGAAGACTTCAATCCTTACCCTTGAAAAGTAATTATTTTCAATTATTTGTGTTTTTAAATCACAGATGTTCTAAAAGTGATCACACTAGATATGTTGTTGTTGTTGTTATGTAACATCAACTACTAGATATACTAGGTTTTTATTTGCTTTTCTTTCTTTTTTAAAAAAATTTTCTTTCCTTAAATTACATTTTGCAAAAAAAAGTAAATGGAAAGCTTCACCAAACATATTCTAATAATGAAAGATTCACCAGATTTTGTAAATGTATGTACATCCACAGAGAGCCATGTAATTATTTTTAGATTCTATAACTGGTGCTTATATTTATTTATTTATTCATCCATCCTTTCATCAGATATTTCTAGAGCACCTTCAGTATACCAAGAATTATGATAGAAGCCAGACTTTGTCATAGGTACTGGCTGTAGTCTAAGGATGGCCAACTATCAAAAGTTATCAAAGTAAATTTTGGGAGGGATATGCCCTGGTTTTTCTGAGTCTTACTCAAATTTTTTCCCTCTAATTTAAATCAGATTTTCTTCCATAATTAAATAGAATCTATAAAGGGTATGCCCAGATTCGTGTAAGCTCCCCTGGGCTATAGCAGGGAACAGGAAAGGTGCTTTTTACCCATGGTTTATTATTCATGAGACCATAGGTGGATAACTTAGTCATCAGGAATCGAGTCATGAAAGAACTTCTAAGGTAAAAAGCAGGGTTATTGGTCCAAAACCAGGTCAGCAAAATTAGGAGCAAGACAGAGGCAGAGAATCTAGTGAAAGGTCAGAAAAATGGGCTGAAAAATTAAGGAAGTCAGAAACAAGGGATGTAGAGACAAGCTTGGAGAAATTCTAGAGATGAAAGCCAACAACTGCAGCTTTTTCCCTTCACTTTCATCATCATTTCTTGGGAGTTCCAGGACTACTTAAGCGGGAGGATGGAGGAAATGTGTTGTTTTTATCCCAACCTTTTTTGACATCGACCCAATTTTTGTCTATATTGGAAACGGACACTATTTTGATAAGAACATGCTATTATTGAACACAGAAGTGTGACTTCAAATTGTGCCTTGTTTAAACTTTAGAACTGTTGCCGCTATTTCTTATATGATAGAGTCTTGCTGTACCCAACATTTCTTTCAACTGTCTTTGGAAATTTCTCATCTTCCTGTAATCAGTTACATTATCAAGATAACTCCCAGCCTCCCTTGTAGTCAAATTACGTGTGACTCTACGCAGTGGGTTTATTCCAATGCAGGATTATAATTTTTTTTCCTTATACTATTTTTGCATATTCTGAAATTATTACATTATAATCACTATTGTAACATTGTACGGTGCAACACATAAGTTTCCCCAAAGTTGTCCAAGAACAAAGCTTTTGCAGATTGGTTTATATTTTAAATGAACTACTTTTAAAATTCTTAAAATCATTGTTTGAAATGAATCCTTTTAAAATGTGAAATTCCATCCCCTAATTTACCTGATTTATAGATTGAAGATCAGATTTAATTCATATAATGTATTCTTCACATTATTATGAATATACTATATGAATTAAATCTCATCGTCCATCATTTTGAAGACTAAGGTGCAGCTAACCTACACCATGGTATTTTCAACTACGTAATATGCATGCAAAAGCTGGACAATGAGTAAGGAAGACCAAAGAAGGATTGATGCCCCTGAATTATGGTGTTGGCTAAGAGTATTGAATATACCATGGGCTGCCAGAGAAATGAACAGATCTTTGAAAAAGTATAGCCAGTTTTGGGACTGTATTCAAATATATGGTGGGGAATGGGAAGTGGAGTAAGATGGATACCAGACAAAGAAAAAAAGAAAAAGTATAGACAGAATGCCCCTTAGAAGGGAGGATGGCAATGCTTCATCTTATTTACTGTAGATATGTTATGAGGAGGGACTGAACCCTGGAGAAAGATATCATACTTGGTAAAGTAGAGTGTCAGTGAAAAAGAGGAAGACTCTCAACAAGATGGGTTCACACAGTGGCTGGAACAATGGGGCACAGATATAGTAATGATTGTAAGGATGGTGCAAGATCATGCAGTGTTTTGTTCTATTGTACGTGGCGTAGCTGTGGGTCAGAACCGACTTGACGGCACCTAACAACAGCAACAGCAACATCATTCCTATTAGTATTTCTTTTGTTGTGCAACCTTTATTCTGAGGAAATTCTAGTGCTTTGTATTTATTATTTCATATATAATTTCAACTTCTTAGTAATATATGAATTTTCTCTGTAAAATTTGAAGATAGGAAAATTAATCCAGAATGAAAACTGATGCCATACTTAAAATTATGCAAGGAGTTAGAGAAAGGGCAGGAACCAAAAACTGATTGTTTTGATGTGTTCCTTAGGGTATTACAAGCTAATACTAATAATAGAGAGCTTGGCCGGCTCTGTTTCGAGTTTTGTTTGTTCTTGAGTTTTCCACTAAGTTGTCACTTCTACAATTCATTTTCCAAGGTCAGTGTCCTGCATGTCTGTCTAGTTTAGATTATAAATCCATTTAGCAAGGATCTAATTCTGCATTCTATCTATAATCTTACCTCAATGCAATAAATATTAAATAATAAACTACAGGTTTTAATTACATTTCTTCCTGAAGGACAGGAAGGATTAAAACATCAGTTGGACTGGTTTCAATCACTTGTATTACCATGGCCCCATGGAGATTATGTGAATCATAAAATGAATTCATGTCCAGTCACTGTTATGCCAAGGAACAAACAAATGCCTGATCCAGATAGGCTTTTAAAACTGGTGGATGATTTTATGATTACTGTAAAAATCAAGAAAGCATCTATTTACATTTATTAATCATTTACTAGAAACAGGCAATGCTCTAAGAGCTTAGTGAAATTGTGTCTTGATTGTATTAAAATTAATTTTTTGAAACGATATTTAGTCTAAGTATGTATACATTATTCTAAGTGAAGTCGATATATAATAATTCAAACTTACAAATCAGAAAAATTAAAGAAAAATATTTCCTTTGTCAATTTAATTTTTGTTTAAAAAATGAAAATATTCATCCCAACATATATTTCAAATAGTAAGTTTCCATTACATTTAAACACTTAGTGAACCTATAGTTACATATATGTCAAACTTCTCAGGTATAAATATCTAAATAAAGGAAAACATACCTACAAAATTACATTAATTCCAAGACCATAATCATTGTTCCAGAATTACTCTGTACCTCCACGGGCACCTTGCACTTACTGTTTCCAAGGTAATTATCTGCATTTTCCTACTTTCAAACTTTAGTTCAAGTCCTTACTTTGCTAAAAAATGCTTTGTCCTCATAATTTCCTTTCTATATGCTACCCATCTGAAATGGAATATGGTAATGATAGTGTTTGTCTGTCAGGCAGTTTTGTCCATCTTTTCCCCTCAACCCAGCTTTTCTTTTTCAGGTAGAGGAAGATCTTTTTGGGAAATCACAGCTCTCCAACTCTAACTGGCCCTGGTGGAATTGTCAGTCATAGTGCCCGTCCCCTTCTCTGACACCTACAGTGGTAAATATGTGAGCTAGGCTGGACAATTAGTATATCCTATGCTCCAAGCCACAGTGATTGCTCCAGAATGGTCAGGTGCCCCACGGAGAGCCAATGAAATCACCGCTGATTTTTAATAAAATGAATTTTGGTAAATAAAGGGCTTGGATTGAGGCTCTAAGTATGTAAGTTTCTATCTTCAGCAGTCATTTTTTTTTAAGAACTTGGGATAAAGTCAACACAGAGAGAAAAGCTAAGCCTATGCCACCAGACTGGTAGTGTAGTGCCTAAGGCACTTGACTGCTAACCAGAAGGCTGCAGTTCAAATCCACTAGGCCACTCCTTGGAAGGAAGGTTGGGCAATCTACTTCCATAGTGATACTGCTTCGGAAACCCAAGGAGGAGTTCGCTATGACTCGACGGAGTCGCTATGACTCTGTCTCGACGGCACATAACAACAACAGCAACAACATCTACTATTCTAAGGAGTTCTGATGACATAGTGCCTAAGGCATTTGACTGCTAACCAGAAGGCTAGTGGTTCAAATCTACCTGCCACTCCTTGGAAGGAAGACTGGGCAATCTACCTCCATAGAGATACTGCCTGGGTAACCCAAGGAGTGGTTGCTATGAGTTGGAACTAACTTGACAGCAGTGAGTTTGAGAGTACTGGCCTCTGAATGACAAATATACAGAGATCAAAAGTGGTTTAAAGAAAAAATAAAATTACATAATTTAGTTCAAAATA